ACAGTTCGTTTACGGCAGCTGTTGAAACCAGTTCACCTCAGTAGTGCGTTGCGAAAAAAACAATGGAAAAAAATATTGAACAAAGAGTTTGCATCAAATTTTGTTTTTCGAACGAAATTTCGTGTGCAGAATCGTTGCGAATGCTACAAAAGGCTTATGGGGAATCAGTTTTATCGAAAACTCAAGTTTATGAGTGGTACAAAGCCTTTCAGGACTGTCGTACGACCGTCGAAGACATGCCGCGTTCTGGACGACCTTCGACCTCTACCACCGACGAAAACATTGAAAAGGCAAAGGAAATCGTGTTCAAAAATCCTCATGTGAGTGTTAGAGAGATAGCACGAGAGCTAGGCATCGGTCGTGAGATGGCTCGTTTGATTTTGGTGGACAATTTGTGTATGCGACGTGTCAACGCCCGGCTTGTTCCGATTCACCTCAATTTGTTCAACATTATCAACGATTTTAAGGCCAAACATTCAATAAATACCATCGAACAGCCACCGTATTCACCTGATCTTGCACCGTGTGACTTTTTCCTGTTTCCCAACCTCAAATTACCACTCAGAGGAACGCGTTTTGAATCCATAGAAGACGTAAAACAGAATTCGCAGAGGGAACTCAAAGCCATACCGGAAAGCGCCTATAAAAAATGTTTTGATGATTGGAAGAAACGTTGGCATTTGTGTATCGCTTCTAATGGAGCATATTTTGAAGGAGATAAAATAAATATTGATGAAGATTAAGAATTTTGCGTTTTATTTAAAATTTTCCGGAAACTTTTCGGTCACAATGTATATATAATTATTTTCATAGATATATCTTATATATATATAAAATTATATATTACATTTGTTTTGCAATAACTTTCTTGACTTTCTAATATCACTAAAATATTTATCAATAACTCGCTAAAGTATTACCTATCACATTCATACAAAAAATGCTGATCTGTATTAACAACAAAAAAATTAAGCTGCACTAAGCACTAAATAACACGCAATGGTATTTGCCTTTACTCCCAACGAAACGGTGTAATTAAGAAAATAATGAACTTAGATCGAATTAAGGACTACTAAAGTTCCAAATGCAAACGAAGAGTGAAATGGAGTAGAAAATAGGTAGAAGTTGAAGAGTTAATTTTTTCACAGATTTTGAACAAAACAATCACTTAAGTCATTTAGATGTGGTAACCAAACAAATTTGAAATCACAATATTTAAGATGAATTTTTCTTTAATAATTCTGCAAACATTTTGGTATGTCAATGACATTAAATGACATTTTTTCATACTTCACTAAATTTTATAAAATTGTTGTATATTTTGATTTAAATTTAGTATAGAATAATTAAGTTCAGCATTTATACTATATAGTATCCTGTCAAGAAAGCAGATATTCCAATAGAACTTCTTACCACTATCTAGAGTATGCTGACATAAAATGGTTGAGACCCAAGGTTTTACACATTGTTTTGACCGCATTATGACTAAAAGTCTTGATGGGGCAAGACTTTCGTTATTTGTGGATGAAGTTTAATTTGGTGTCGCATACGGATCAATTTACCACATGGATTCGTTCATTACTAAAACGACCAAATCGAAAATACAGAAATATTACAAAAATAATAATGTGTTCCAATATATTTATTATTGGTTTTATAATCATAATCATAAAAAAAATAATTGAAATTTAAAAGTTTTCAATTGAGTCATTATGTATATTATTGCACTTCGAGTTGTAAATTTTGCATGTGGTAATAGCTTTATATCTTCAGTCTAATATCGACTGATAATTTTAACTAAATCACGTAAATGTGTAGTATTTGCTACATTAGGGTGTTTTGATGTTATTGGAGCTCAAAATACTATTTTATAGTCAGTATTGCACATTTTGGGTGCGACAGTATTTACACAAAGGCGGCCCTAGTATCTAACAATTCTCACTTTTGGAATCGAATATCAATTTTCATATATTAAAACAATTTGTAGAAATTATGCAGAATATGTTTATTGCCAAAAGTCATTAAGTTCAATATTGTTAATACGAAGATTTCTATGTTATGGATCCACAAAATTTTTAACAAGATGGAAACTCTTCTTACTCTTTTGCTTAGCCGCACATCCAAAAATAATCAGGTCTTTCGACACGTTTGGTATCATAATCGTTAGCATCACCTGGTAATAAAATGTTATTTTTTTTATTTAATTATTGGAAAATAAAAATATATAGCATTGTATTTACCGCTATGTGTTATTGCTATCTACTATCTATGCTGTTAACTTATATGCAAATAGGTACTACAAAATATGGTTCAGTTCAAGTCTAAAAAGTAAATCGATTAGAATAAGATGAATTTTCAACCGAATTTAGAAAACATAGTGTATGATATGTACTTATATTTATGTATATATAAGTGCATATGCAATTTATAGTTAAAAGAATTAAAAAATTTATAAATTTTTCATATGAAATAATGAAAAAATCCAAATCATACTTTCCAGACCCAGTCCTATAATGACCAAAGAAAATATATGAAATTGAGGAACTTGCGTTACTTCCGATAACGAATGTTGTTTTTAAATTATTGATTAATTCTAGCAGCCTCACATTCATTCCTCATCACTGAGTAGTTCCAGTAACCCTTGAAAAAACATGTATTAACATTATGAAGCTATTTGATGAAGATTTAATTAGAATCTAAGTCAAAAGAAAAATTTCAAGAGCACTTAATAAAAAAATTATTCGACTAGGTAATGAAAATATTTCAGATTCGAATAAATGAAAAATTATGTATTTGGTATTTGTCCAAACAACAAATACATAATTTGTTGTTTAGTTCATAAAAGGAGAACTGAAAACATAAGAAATTAATTAATTAATTACTTGTAATTAAAAAATTTGAATCTATTGTATTAACCTTTTTAGAAATTTATTTCGATTTTAATATTTTATGTAGTGTCTTACCTGGGTCCTGCAAGTTATAAAGAAATCTTTTTAACGATTTGCTCCTTAAAGCTGGTATATATCAAAGAGAACTCATAACACAACTTGCCTACAACCATAGTAGAGTTACCAAATCATCCAATTTATATAGACGTCTGTTGAGTATTAGATCCATCTAGTCTATCTAAATTAAAATTAGACTGTTCTGTTTGTATTTCTACGGAAAGTCTCTCATTTTCTAAGGCGCTTTCACCTAAGTACTGTGACAACATTTCTTCAGCTATATCTGCTGTTAAAGAATTGGGTTGACTTTGACGCGATGTGTTTCTATGAAGTCTTCTTGCAGGTGCATTATTTTGCTGAGATCCAACCCAGTGGTACAGAAAATATTCTACTCTTACCAAAAGCGTTGTGAAAACAAAACAACAGAACATAAGTAGAGCGTTAAAATTTGTGGGATCCATTTCAGATTTTGAATTTTGTTCCTGCAAACTTCCAAAAAATGTATATTTTTAGAAATTTATGTATTATAATTGTATGTTATTTTGACGTAAAATCTTTGAATAGTTTTTCAAATAAGAATTAACACAAAATGAATACTTAATCAAAATTTTTTAACTGGTTTTATTAAAACAAAGTAACACAACAAAGCAGTAGTGAATAATTTGCAGTTGTAATATTATTACTTTAGTTTAAGATTTAAATTTGATAATTTTTATAGAGGTTTGAACTTAGCACAAATTTATTTAAAAGGAACAAACCGTTTTATATAAGAAGTGTCTTTTCAACAAAACGTATTGCATTGCGATTTTTACACAATGGTATTCAGACAGACACTTTTTAAAACCTTTTAATTGTATAAAACTATGTAGTAATTTCAGTTGCCTTTTTAAAAATGAATTAAAGCATAAAATGGCTACTTTCAACCATTACTTCATTTTGGAAACAACTTGAATGCAAATTAACCAGTATTTAAACTTGGAGGAAATCCTGCAAAACCGAATTAATACCGAGAAAGCGAAAAGGAAGTCCTTAAATCTTTTACATTTATTTTTAAACTGACAAACTTTCTGGGTTTCGCTTTCCACAAATTTTCTGTCCATGATACAAAGTTAGCTAATTTATGGGAGCAGAGAGTGGAAGGACAACGTTTTGTGGTCATGTATAGTATAAAGATTAAGGACATCCTTTTTAATAAATAAAAGTTAAGAAT